AAGAGAAATACAAAGTAGTCTAGGAGCAAATTTAATTAGCTTCCTACCTGCTAATTTGCTTTGCTGAAAGTCATAAACTATTGTATTCATCGAGACGGTAAGATTCGCTGGCGTAACTTTTCCGCTATATAGCGAACATTGAGGAATAGTTAAACTATCAAATACAGCAGTACTGCAATTAGCAAATAAATTTGCACATTGAGCAGCACATGTTATTTGATATTTTACGGTCAGACGAGTGATTATGGTGCCTGTTGAATTATAACTCATGTTATAATAGACATTGCCTATTGTCGAAAGTGATGCATTCGCACTTGTAATCCAAATAAGATAATACATGCATAATATATACAGATAGACCATCTTGATTATCTGAAACAAGTTTATATAATTAATAACATTCATATTTTATTAATTATTATGTAAAATCTACATCTATTAATATTAGCTTATATCTTTTGTCTATGCTTTGCTGTGCATCAGTTTAGTTTGTTCAATTTTAAAAAAAGCTTTTATCTCTATTCAATAAATGTTTTAACTAATTTGTATTTGATCAGACACGTAACTCACTCAAACCAAATAAGAAAAAACTAACTCTGTAATGTCGAAACAAACAGATCTACGTTTTTGGAAAAAGAACATTTAACGAGTAATACGTAGAACGCGGAAATAAATCAATTTATCGTCAGTCGTCTTGAGGGTGTTGGTGAGAGTGAGGGTGCAGGTATTTTATTTTAACCACACCCACACCCACATCATCAAGATCAATGTTACTTTAGATAATGAAATTGTTATCAAATAAAATTTATTCTTTAATTTTAAAGAAGCATTTCATATAAAATAGCTATATAACAATATATGTTTTGGTAATAAAAAGTTTTATTCTATGTTATTGATGATATAAAAATAAGAAGAATCAAGCGAAAAGTCACTTTCAATAACACATGTATGTGTACAAATGTATTAATCGGACAAAGACTACACTGGTACATGTTTTGATAGTTTAGAAAAACTTCCTATGATTTGTTAGATGGTGACATAGTGATACATTTCTTCTTTCTGTTGATCTCAGAATGTGTCTTCCCGTTTTCTCAATCTCATAACAGTCTATTACTAATCGGTAAGAAATGCTTCTTATACTAAAAACTAGTACTGCATCTAATTTACAATTTATCACAGAATAATTGAATCTGCAAGTTTCTAATTAGAAATTCAATTTTGTTGCAACAAATTGTAAATTTCATTACAAAAAGCACAGCTAAAGTAATAAAGAAAGAAGCATATCAATAAAATCAATATTTAGCTAAAGTTAATATTATAACATTGATTTAACTGTTTGGAGACGAGATTGTTTTGAGAGAAAATGAAAGTTCTCCAAAAGTTGAAAAGAATATATATTCATTACAACGGGATTGAATGCAAATATTGAATACATTATGCTAGTGATGACATATTCATCGCCTGTTTTAGTATGTATAATTATGCTTGCACGATAAAAAGTCTACACAAGTTGCGCTGTAATCAATCACAGCCGAATGTAAATAAACACTCCCGTTCTCAAGCGGTTAAAATCAATAGAGAATAGTTTATTTTAAAGAAAATTCATAGTTATTTCAGTACTGCTAGATGTTAAACTTGAACAGTTAAAATTTCAGTTTCAAAATCCGGATAATCTGGAAGTTTTTTTCATAAATCTAAAAAGATGTTCTAGGATCAGTTCTTTAAAAGCACTGATTCAAAAAAGAAATTAATTTAAAATCGACTATATCTATTCGGCACGAAAAAAAAGTTAATAGTTTATTTCCGATTGCATTATCAAATGAGTTCGCTTTTTAAACAAGATTTCTGCCTTGCAAATACATCTTCTTCTCGGGATCTGACCAAGGCATATCGTAGGAAGGTGAGTTCACATAGCGATCCATAGTAAGTTGTAGTGTTGCTCCTGTGCCCGCAGGAAGTACAACTTCCAGCCATTTGTGATTAACCACCGTGGTTTCAATCGCATCTCCCACTTCGTTCAAGGTATGTACTTCGTTGAATCGATGCTCTCCAAATGTTCCAGCTTGAATAATAAGCATGCGTTGTGAAAACAAATCGACATTGACCAGTTCTAAAATGACTGAATGATTTTTAAGTTCTTTAACTAGCGCAGCAATGGATTGCGGAAGTCCAGGACGTTTCTTCTCGGCATCATAATATCGTACTCGTGCATGTTGTAGTCCTCCATGGGATATATGCATTGGTCCACCTAAGGTGACTTGAACAAGACTTTCCATATACAGGGGACACATTTCTTGCCAAACATGAATGCTAGAAAAATCGTCTTCATTATATTGGTTAGCCCAGTTCAGAGGATTTCCTGCTTCTGATCGCAATCGCCTTAGTTGCTGTGCAATCAATTGATAATTGGCATCCAATATACGCTGTGGATACTCAGGATTACAACCACGAATATATTGAAACCATGGTTGTGTATTGCCAATATAATGTTTTGTATCTCTTCCCGTCTTTTTATCCGCACCGGATACTGTCGGAACAATTACTTCATTCCAATCATGATCTTTCGGAATACGATTAATGCGTTCTAAATCTTCATCAGCCATAGATATTATCCATAAATAAATCGGATATTTTGGTGCTGGTCTACGATAATCTGTCCAGCCTGCATCAATATGTTTGTATGGCACTAACCAGTGACCTTCGCACTCCTGGCGCAATGCCCAATTCGCATCGAGTTGTTGCCGAGCCAGATCAAGTTGACTAATATCTCCTGTTAAAAGTACAGCATTCATACATGCATTCGTTAACGGCTCAATAATTGTCACGAATCCATGCGGCCAACGCCATCCATAGTAACCACCCCACCATTTACCGTCGTTATACTCCCCAATCTTACCGGTTAGGCCAATGTTATCCGGAATTATTCCACCATTTTGATGAGTTCTCTCCTTCCAGGCTTTCAGATATTCTAGTACCCAACGACGATATTTTTCTTCGTCCGAATAAAGAAATGCGTGAGTAACGAGACCTGTTGCATTTAGATTAAGTGGTACATCACCACGAGTCATTCGCTCGTTCATAAAGTCTATAATGTTCGCATATACTTGGTCATTCGACCAGGCACATTTGCCGCTAGCAAAATCGACATCGGGAATATCCTCATAAGGTGCTAAATAGTTATCCAAAATACCACGATGAGTACTCCAGTCCTCAGCAGTAAGTACAAATTGTGGTCCTCGACTACCTGTTATCGGAGAACGAATCAGTTTAAGTTTCTGATCATAATTTTGCGCTTCTTCATCCTCTCCTATGTACATGCCAGCAAAAGATAAGGCTCGCTGACGATCCTTCAAGGTTGATGGTCCTGCTAGTCCAAGAAAATAAAGGTATAAGTAAGCCTCACCATGATGCATCCAATCATAATACGCATCAAACTCGCGATGAATTTGTCCGTATGCAGTCCATTGCCAAGTGATGCCATCCCAAATTTTACGAGAAATATCATACAACTCATCACTTCCACCTAAGATATAGAGAAGCGCCAAATTCATAAAACCTTCGTACGGATCGTCAGATCCGTCCATTCCTGGCCAATCTCGTCGCCAGATTAACGTTCCATCTGCACGTGTGTAGCGTGCTGTGAATTCAAATGCAGCCTTGTTCAATTGATCGAACAAAAGTCGCTCCATTAGCGCCCATTGTGGAGGGACCACCTGATTTTTTAGCAATATTCTCGGAAGCGATTGCGATGAGATTTGTCCTAAAATAAGTAAATAAGGGCTAAATATCAGTATGAAGAGTATATGTATCTACTAACCAGCATTATCGTGGTGTTTCATTTCAGTATGACAATTGAGACACTCGTTGGCTGTAGTTAAAGAAGAATGTGAAACATGTGCATTCGCTATATCATCCATTATATGAATCGAGCAACAAAAAATTCAAGGTGGAAGATAAAGCCAAGATAAGTAACATATATAAGAGCTCTCTTTATCATATAAACACTTCATCAAAAGTATATATACGAACGTAAAAAACATGAATGTCAGTTGTCTCTTACAGAATCAGAGACTAGTTTAGTCATTTGTCTTCATAACAATATATAAACAGTATTTGCTGTTATTAGTAATCATGTAGTAAAGAAGACATAGTCAACGTGAAATTTATACGCGATTTGTAACCGTTTCGAACATTGAAAAATGGCAAATTACTATTATAAATGATCAGAATCTCGATAATATGATACATTTTCGTAAGTTCGTTGCCTTCCTTCGATACACTTGCAACATCAGAAAAAGATTTTAAGCTGATCCGCAATAAAAAAACGAACAAAAAGAAGAATTTAATAAAATGTACGTTGCATTCTCTTCGGTATGTCCACTTCAATACTCTAAATACTATGTATTTCGGATAATCTTTACTGAAGATATTTTAAATAGAGAGTGTGGATGAATACAAGATCGTGTCACACCTACACCCACACTCTCAAGATAGTAAATGTACAGACGTAACGACTTTACTAGGTACTGAGAACAGCGATATACAAGCTAAAACTTCGATCGGCAAAAATAGTAAGATCCGTTTATTAACTGGAGATAAACAGCAAAATTTTTTTATCCAACAAAATAAGATTATATTGTATGAAGATTAAATAAGGTATTTAAAAACATCGAAGCAGATGTCATTCTATAGTCCCTGATAGTAATACTTTTAGAATACAGAAGACAAAACCTTTTTGTTTGTTCCATATAATTAGTTTTACTCATCTATCGGATCTACTCTTCAATAAATTAATAAATGAAATTGTATATTTTTGTTCTAATTATCGGAACATACGAAATAAAATAATACTACACCGAAGTTTTGCTAATTAATAAAAATAAGATTTCATTTCTTATGTGACTAGAGTATACTAAAGCTCCTTATTTCAAAGATTAGCTGATCAGTATTTTATACAAAAGTGATTCAGTTTCATTATTCTTTCAAAAAAGTGTAAATAAATGTGGACAACAACTGAATTCATTGTATTTCAAAGAAATATTTTCAGTGTTTTAATGCCAATTATTATTGTTGCTGGTACTTTAGGATCTATTCTAAATATAATCGTATTTTCGATTAGTAAAAAACTTCGATCAAGTCCATGTTCACTTTATTTTATATTTGCTTCAATTGGATATGTTATTTATTTAAATATTGTTGCATTACTAAGATATCTTCAAATTAGTTTTAATATTGATCCATCTGTACAATGGTCATGGTTTTGTAAATTAAGATATTATGCTATTGGATTTTTATTAATGTTACCTCGGTCATATATGTTATTAGCTGCTATTGATAGGTAAAATATATTCTTTTTTCTTTGAATAAGAATTATTCTGTACTGTGTAGATATTTAATGAGTAAATCAGGTTAACATCGTTTTTCATCGTATCGAGTAGCTTTAAAAATGATTTTGTTAACATTTTTCTTTTGGATGATTATGTGTGTTCATTTAATAATTTATTTTGATATACAAATTTCATCAAATGGAACAAATCGTAATTGTATGAATTCCCCCGGATCATATTCAATATTTCTTAGTTTTTATTCTTTATTAATCAATGGCCTTTCTATGCCATTATTAATGACAATATTTGGTTTATTAACACTACGAAATACTCAACAACATCGTAATCAAATTCATAATACTATGACTCTTATTTTACGAAGAAGAAAAAAACAAGAATGGTTAATACTTCGAATGCTTCTTATACAAATAATAGTTAATGTTATTTTATCATTACCAGTAACTATTTATTTATTTTATGCTGGTTTAACACAATATTATAAAAAATCAATGTTTAGAATTTTCATGGAAAATTATGTTTATAATATGTTTACTCTTTTGCAATATATAAATGCAGCTGTAAGTCTTTTATTTCTTTGTACGAAATCAAAAATTACATTTCATTATTTTCTTATCATTATTAGGCATCATTCTACGTTTACTCTTTGACTTCTCGTACATTTCGAAAGGAATTATATTGTCTTATTGTTTATTATTCATCAAAATTAAAACAATATATGATAGATCGTCCAGCAGCATTAGTTACTCGATTAAGTCATACTATTGCCTCTTAAAAATCATATGTTCACAATGTTAACATTTTCATGCATAATAAAATCATCTTGAGGGTGTGTGTCTGTGTATGATACTCTTCTCCATCTGCATTTCATATACACCCACATCCACCCTATTTCATGGAACTGATCAGCCATCTGCAGTACTATTTGAAAAACCCTTTTCTGATTGACGGAACTGATAAATTGCTTGAACTACGTTCTGTTCGACTCTTCTTAGTTGGTTTTCAAATCTGAAATACCTTTTGTCAAAGGGTTCATAAGAACGCAACGGATAACATACCATTTTCGCGTTTTTGAAACAGAGCAAGCTTTTAATAAACGTCATTCAGACGGGTACTTTAACTTGATAAACTATACTTTTTTGCTTTTTTAGTGGTAGATAATAGGGTTTTATGCACTCTGATAAATGGTAGAAAAGGGTATATTATTCGTTGCATTCTGATAAACGTTTTAAAGGTTTATCACCCTACTCTTTTTTTCCAGTGTAGTACTACGTTTGTTGTTGGAAAAATTGTCATAAAAAGCGGGTATAGAATATTAGTTCTCAGCAGAAACTATTATACAAGAGGGTATGTTCTTTTTATCTACAAACTCAGCCACACCATTCAAGATGCACAATGCTCTTTTAAGTAATATTTCATCTTTATTGTTTTTTCTCTTTATTGATGACTATGTAAGATGAAGCATTGTAAAATAGTGCAACATTCAAGCAAAAACGACAAGACAACAATGAATTAGTAATGAATCCAAAGCAAAGCAAAAAATGAGTAAACTGATATAATAAAGATATTTATACGCAACAAAAAGCAATAAAATGATAAATTCATGTCAAAATTTTATTCTTCTCTATTGGATAATGTAGTTGACAGGACCTGGATCAGAAGTTACAAGAGAAAACGATCCTGTCACATTTATGCTGAATGTTGTTACAACTAATATATATTTCCACATAACCTGAAGAGTAACATTAAACATAAATTGACTCGAACCACCACTATCATCATCTGATGCAAATTTGTTAAAAGTTAGTGATGAAGAATTAAAAGTACTATTGTATATATATCCATATGTATTCATCGAGCTTGATGATAGAATTGTATATGATCCTGTTGTTGATACATTAAGTTGAATAGATTGATAAAAATATGTTGATTTTGGACAAGTACCTTTATGACAAAATAATGGACTAGTTGAGGGGTGGGTGTCGGTGGGTGGGTGTGGGTGCGGATGTTGGTGTGCATGATCATCTATTACTCACACCTACACCCACACCCACACCTTTTATTATGAAATATCGTCTCAGTTATTTGTGAATATTAATGATCTATACGAAGTATTTTTCTTATTTGTTCTCTATTTTCAATAATGAATAATCGACCATTATTTATGACAGAGAATAAAAAAGAAAAATGTTCTCTACAAGATATTGATGAATATAAAAGGAATAGTGGTGAAAGGAAAAAAAATAAAAGTAAAAGATTTATAGACGAGATTAATTTATTAAGTCTATTCATTATATTCAATTGTTCTTCTGTCTACTTGTGGCGAATTATTGACGAAAGATACTGATGTTTTGTTAGCAGCTGCAGCATTTTCTTTTGATGTAATTACAATGACGAAATGAAGATATAAACCAGAAAATGAAACAGAAATTTTTTCTAAATGGAAAATGTTTTTTGTACATCATGAAACAGTAATCGATTCGTCAAATTAAAGGAAGTAATGCCGAGTTTGATTGTCTCTAATGACTACAGTTATTGATTCAATAAACTTGATAGGTTTGAGGGTGGGTGTGGTTGATGCAGATGTGTCCATTTGGTTCACATTCAACGTAACGTACACCGAAATCCACATCCCACCCCACACCTTCATTCAGTAAAATTTAGATTCCAAATATAATCATAATGAACAGGATCGATCACAGATTCAAACATAGATAGAATTCTATAGAAATCCGATTGAAATCTAGCAGTCGAAAATCATCGGAAACGTATAAGTATCCGACCATCAGATCCGCCATCGAATTTTTTTCACCTTGATATGTTACATGTGAATCTTTAACATAAATTAATATGAAGATAATCCAACGTGACTGTCTAGTCACGTAGACTGTATTTGAATTGATTTTACATAAGAGATATAGCTGCACATGTTCGTTATGATTTGTTCTCCAGAGATATACGATTTAACAGATTTGATTGCATTCCTCTTTCAGCCAGTTTGATTTTAAGTATATACGATAGGTGTTCGCGAAACAAATCACCTACATTACATAATTATTCACTTAAGCATACATGCCTACATCGATATGCAGGTTTCTGTTATCTATTAATTTCTTTTGGTATGTAATCACAATTATTTCTCGAAAACTAAAGTATTAAAAACTGTAGCTACGATTCGTCAATACGTTAGCTTTATGACGAAACCAGTACGTGTTGAAAAGAACACTATTACTAACCTCGAAAAGGATCAATAACCGCTCAACTCAAATGAAATCTTCTATATTTTCAGTTACATAACTGAAAGTTCGATACATTAGGCATCAGGCCACGTTTTATTCAAGATAGATTAATATACCTGATGTATTCATTATATATCAAAATTTTAAATTATTATACAAAAGTAAATATCTGATATATAGGTGTCTGCTGAATTTTCACACATATAGATAGATTAATATACTTGATGTATTTGTTTTTTATCGAAACTTTAAATGATTATACGAAAGTAAATATTTAATATCTGAGTATCTGCTAAATTTTCACACATAGAGATAAATCAATAAACTTGATATATTTATTACATATCGAAATTTTAAACTACTATATAGGAGTAAATATCCGATATCTTACCATAGTTTTCAGTTTTGCGCAAATTAAATAGCTGATTTCTGTAATAACATGATATAACAAATAAATGTCATTTAATAGAAACTGGTGACAGTATGAAATTTACCACGACCTCATATGTTTTACATATGTATCTTCTAATCATATAAAAAATAAGAATAATAAGAAATCGTTAAATAGTAGCGCCATCTTCATACTACTAGTATTATATATTTTTCTTTTCCTTTCACCTTGGCTTTCTGTTTGTATTTAATCTTTTATCTTCGTATTGTTATGCGCGTGATAATACACACATATACATCATCGCTTATTCTTTATTCGGGAGACAAAATGTGAATAAAATCAATCAATATAATCTATTACCAGCTTTACAATAACAATTTTCTTTTCTATAATATGTTGTTTTAATAATAAGAAATTATACAAGGTAATTATTTTTATATTAATTGAAATAAATAAATTCTGTAACTACAAAGTCAACATTAAATTAAATGAGGGATATATTTTGATTTATATATTACACTCAAAATTAAATTTTCTATCTTTTTCTTAAATTAAAGATCTACAAATCATGATTTATCAACCGTCTAATGAAGAATCATCAAATGAACAACAATTAAGTAATTTTCTTATTTAATAAAATATACAAAAAAAATAAAATTATTTTTTTCTAGTGATCAATTCTAAACTTGAAGAAAATGAAAATGATGACAATAAAAAACTTTGGTATTTATTTCAAGAAAATAAAAATATT